TGGTTTTTGCTAATAATTCTATTTTTAGCAAAAACCAACAATACCAACAACCACATGATCAAGTGAATTGCAGCGGAATAGCTGCGCTTGATTTTATTGGCATAACAAAAATGAAAATAGTGGAAAAAAGCAAACGATAATTTACAAGGCGTACTTAGCACGGTGCATAGGCAACTGGCTGAGTCAGTGGGATCGTCGGTTCGAAGCCTACTGAAAGAAGTCTGATGAGGAAATGTGGTGATTTCCGAAATAGCTATCACTTCTACCATTTTTTTAAAATTATTGTTGCTTTTCCACAATAAATTTTCATTGAAAAAAAACGGCCTCGAGCTCAATAAAAATTGTTGAATATAATTGTTATAAGGCCAAAAAATAACAAAAAATAACTTAAGGACGAGCACACCTAAAAGTTAAACATTCTAAAAATAGAATTATTAGCAAAAACCAACAATACCAACAACCACACGATCAAGTGAATTGAAGCGGAATAGCTGCGCTTGATTGTGATGGCATAACAAAAATTAAAATTGTGGAAAAAAGCAAACGCTAATTTACAAGGCGTACTTAGCACGTTGCATAGGCAACGGGCTGAGTCAGTGGGATCGTCGGTTCGAAGCCTATTGAAAGAAGTCTGATGAGGAAATGTGGTGATTTCCGAAATAGCTTTCACTTCTACCATTTTTTTTAATTATTTTTGCTTTTCCGCAATAAATTTTCATTAAAAAAAACGGCCTCGAGCTCAATAAAAATTGTTGAATATAATTGTTATAAGGCCACAAGATAACAAAAAATAACTTAAGGACGAGCACACCTAAAAGTTAAACATTCTAAAAATAGAATTATTAGCAAAAACCAACAATACCAACAACCACATGATCAAGTGAATTGCAGCGGAATAGCTGCGCTTGATTGTGTAGGCATAACAAAAATGAAAATAGTGGAAAAAAGCAAACGATAATTTACAAGGCGTACTTAGCACGGTGCATAGTAGAGTTGTGTCGTTCACGAACTATTTCGTTCACTGAACTAGTTCACGTGGTGAACTAAGTGAACTAGTTCGCAATTCCAAATGAACGAGTGGATTTGCCATACTCCAAAAATTTCTCATACTCCACTTATTTTGTATTACAGGCCGTCTCCACTGGATAAAGTTTATATATTGATACACTGATTTACTGTCATAAAATATATTCAGTACAGTGATTCAGATATTTAAATATATGTGCATGTATCATTGGAAAAGTGTGCATGTAGTGCTACTGTTATGACAAAATTGTCTGGTGTAAGCCCTGGGTTATTTTAATTTTTTCCAAACATTTTAAGGGCTCTGTTACACGGTCAGTAATTATCATGATATTTGGATCGCGATCCATATTGATGGATTGATGGATCGCGCACGAATGCTACATGTTCAATATTTGTCGCGTCAGTATTTGTGCTGAACGGTTATTATGAAGCAAGAAAATATTTTTATTTTCTACGTATAATTTACAGATAGTGCATTGCACAATTATTTTAAAATTTTCAATGTTAATTAAAATTTTTTCAGTTTGATTTGAAAGGTTTTAAGCACCGAGAGCGAAGGCAGAGCGAATACCTTTTCGATGTTCGCATTATGAAAGTAAAAGATGTAATGACGAAATTTATGGATCACGTTTTGAAAGTGCTACACGAACAATATTTATTGACGGTATTGCGATCCGCTATCCAGATTTCAAAATTTTTAGAAATTTTGCGTTATGGATCACGATCCATCAATATTGTATGCTACACCGTCAATAAATATCGCGATACTTGGATCACGTCAATAAATACTGACCGTGTGACAGGGCCCTAAGTTATCATTGCAACAAATTGATAGTGGCAGCTACATAATTTTATGATGTGACAACCGTGGTGGTAGCACTTTCATATTTGCGCCAATTCTTCTTCCGTTGCCGCGAAAGCTATGCACTAGTGTTTTTGGAGTAAATGAAAGTATTTTACATTCGATTTGTGTATTTAAAAATTATAAGCTATGTTCTATACATATTTCTATTCAGATGCCAGCAAAAAGAAGCTTTGTGTTGAACAATTTCAAGAATTGGGGTGCGAAGAAACCTACATGCAAGCACTGTTCGTCACAAATCAGCTACAATGGAGGATCGGTGGGAAACCTCAAACGGCATATGAAATTAAAGCACCCTTTTATTCCTTGGCAAGGCTCAATCCATGACAATGAAGACAACGAAGACGACACGCCAGTAGAGCAACCGAATCAGACGCAGCCATCGGCACAAAGTGAACACCTTTCGCAGAGGGAGTCGCAGCAACCGGTAATTACAAATTATATATCAAAGCAGCCAACCACCAAAAAGGCGGATAAAATCAACCATCAACTAGTCAAGATGATAGCTAAAGGCCATCATGCGCTGCGTTTAGTGGAAGAGCCGGAGATGGTGAAATTTGTCAGCATGGTATCACAGTGCGGCGGTTATAAATTACCCGCCAAGAAAACTTTGTCTCAAAGCTTGATACCAAAAGTTTATAATGATTTAGAATCAGAAATTAAAAGCCAATTGCAAGATACATTTGCAGTTTGTCTCACAACCGACGGCTGGACGTCTTCTACCAACATCAGTTACATTGCTGTAACTGCTCATTTTATTGATAAAAACACCACGCTTTGTTCTGCTCTCTTGTGCTGCAGAGAGCTTGATTGTAGTCATACTGGTGAAAATTTATATGGGTTTTTAAAAGAAGTGACTGCGAATTGGGGTATATCGAATAAAGTCGCCGCCATAGTTACCGACAACGCTGCAAATGCATTAAGTGGCGTAAGGTTAGGGGAGTGGCGTTCCATAGGTTGTTTTGCACACCTACTTAATTTGATTGTTCAGAAAGCAATTACTGGAATCCCGGCAGTTGTAGACAAAGTTAAAAATATTGTTGTATATTTCAACCGCAGTAGCCAAGCTTTAAAAAAATTAAAGGACTTTCAAGTAGAAATGCAATTGCCTATTTTAAAATTGAAGAAAAGTGTGCCAACGCGATGGAAATCTACATACGATATGTTGGCTCGTATAATAGAAGTTAAAGACGCTGTTATGAGCACAATTGCCATTTTGAGACCCGATCTTATTATAGACACCATTGAATGGGAGATAATAGAAGGATCTTTACCATTACTTAAGCCTTTTTATGGCATCACTACGGGAATCTCTTCTGAAATAGATGTGACGCTATCTAAAGTTATCGTTTTTATCAATCTTATTCAAAGGTATTTAGCAAAGACTTCGCCAAAAAACGAAAAGCTTTCATTGTTTTATAGATCTTTGAGGCAGGGTTTTAGAGAACCAAATGCGTGTGATACTGCTATTCAAAACCTTAAAAATAAGATTGTACAGACGGATTATTCTCAAACTGAAACAAAAGTTGTGATTCCCGATTCGCAGGCGCAAGCTGTTAACAATATTTGGTACGATTACGACAAAGATGTCAGAAATATTGTAAAGCCTCAGAACAAAACTGTAGCTGCGATTGTAGAAGTGAATAGATATTTGAGTGAACCCTATTTAGATCGCAACCATAATCCACTGGAATGGTGGCATGTGCGCAAGGAAACATATCCCAATCTATACAGGCATATTTTGAAAAGATTTTGTATAGTGGCTACATCGGTGCCTTGCGAAAGGGTATTCTCTAGCGCGGGCCTAGTAATAAGAGACGTACTTTACTGAAGCCAACCATGGTAGAAAAAATTTTTTTTTTTGCACAGCAATATGTAAAGTACAATATCTAAATTATCTAATTGTAACCATTGTGATCAATGTTTAAAACAAGTTAATATTATATTCTCATTTGTTTTTGAACAAATTCAAATGTAAGAAAGTCTAAGTTCGGGCGGAGCCGAACATTAAATACCCGGCGCAAGTATTAAATATAAGTTTTTCACCTTTCCGAAAGCTACCGCTACATTGTAAGCCGGGGTGTATCAATTTTGAGAAAATTAGCGTCCTTAAATTTCGAAATATTTAAGTTTCAAGCATTTCTGAAATTTATCGTTATAGGAAAAGCGGAAGTAATTTTATTCCGATTTCGATAATTTTCAACGTTTTGCATTTATGTGGCAACCACAATAACCATACCGAGTTTGGTACAAATTGGTAGAACTGTTACCGAGATACATATATGTGGTCATAAGTGGGCGGTGCCACGCCCATTTTCCAAAATTTTATCATAAACGTATTTCTTGGTAAAGAATTGCATGCATCGATTTTGAATAAATTAGCTTTAATATTTACTGATTTATCGAAGATTTTGTATTTCTCTAAATTACCGTTATATGGGATGTGGGCGTGGTTATTGTCTGATTTTAAAAATTTTCGGCCATTTGGTATGTTGTACCGATGCCAATAACTGTGCCAGGTTTGAAAGAAATTGGTGCAGCGGTTACCAAGATATACCCATGTTACCATAAGTGGGCGTGGCGACGCCCATTTTCCAAAAATTTATAATATTCTTATTTTTCGTCTAAAGCTTATTGTAAATATCAATTTTGAGTGAATAATCTTTAGTAGTTACTAAAATATCACAGTTTTCGTATTTCCGAAAATTACAGTTATATGGGATGTGGGCGTGGTTACAGTCCGATTTCGCCCATTTTCAATACCAACCTACCTTGTGTTAATGGAAACCTACATACCATACATTGAGATATCTCTATTTTTGCTCGAGTTATCGTGTACACGGACGGACGGACAGACAGACAGACGGACGGACAGACAGACATTCGATTTCTCTTTTAATTCTGAGCATTTATGTATACATTTGTCTATATCTATCTCGATTCGTTTTGGCTGTTACAAACAACCGGTATGTCAGCAAAATTAATATACCCTTGTGCACAAGTGCGCTCGGGTATAAAAATAATGAAATGTAATACAGGCTTTACATATTTAGTATAAGTCTGTTATAAGAACTGAATTCTTTATAAGTACTTTTTTTACACATTTTTATTTACAAGCCATACTCGTTTGTGTTTTTTTACAAATTTGATCTCCAATGTATGTATATACATATGTACATACATACTTATGTACATATGACTGAATTACAAATAAAAATGTAAAAATTCTTAATTTGGTGTTAGAAATGGGGTTGTATTTCGGTATTCTAGTAATACCATAAATGCGTAAATGAACTAGATGAACTAAATGAACCAGTTCTTTTGAGTGATTTGAACTAGACTCACTGGTCACTTAAATGAACTAAACTTCCCAACTCTAGTGCGTAGGCAACTGGCTGAGTCAGTGGGATCGTCGGTTCGAAGCCTACTGAAAGAAGTCTGATGAGGAAATGTGGTGATTTCCGAAATAGCTATCACTTCTACCATTTTTATAAGCTTTTATTTAACTTGGTCATCCCGCGCAAATCGTGGAAATTTCCAATCGATTTTAAACTAACTTCCCGACAAGTTGGAGACTTGAAATTTTCAGCATAGTTCCAATCACGATGACAATGCAATTTAAAATATAAATGAATTCCCTATATGGTCCAGGGGTCTTGATTCAAAGTCGGTCAAAAATTAGTAAAATTTATGGCTAACAGAGCGTAATTTGCCAAAAAACGTAAAACCAGAGCAAAGCTATTTATGGCAAATTCTAGATATCAACCTAGTCTAGATATGAACCTCACGACGACACGCCATTTCTTTAAATGAAATTAACTGCTGCTATATGTATGTATGTACATATGTATGTTTATACAAAACGTAAGCAAACAACATTTTGCTTGCATAGTCTTCTGTTCTCTTTCATTGCAAGTTGAATTATTTTAATATCTATTGCAAAACTTTGTACATAAAATAAAATAAAACTATTTAATATACAACGCTTTTATAAATGGACTAAAAATTAGAAAATAAAGTAATGTAAAAAAAATATTTTTTTAAAAATAAGCTTTTATTTAACATGTTTAATCAAAGGAGTAAAATAAAGTAGTGAAACAAAAGATTTTTTAGCAAGAAGATTTTGT